GGCAGGAAATCCAGTGAGACTCTTTTCTCTACTTAAAATGCCAGAAGTGGAGCTGTGGATCTAGTGGTAGAGCACTACCCTTGTATAAAAGAAGCTCAGTGCCCAAGCCCTAAGGGCTCGTGCACACGCGCGCACACGCGTACACACACACACACACGCACACACATACAAAGAAAAAGCTCTTGAGCAGCAGTCAGCTGAATTACTCACAGCTGATACTTGCTACTCTAGATAAATTGCTCTAGAAAAGTGGTTTTTCTTTTCAATCTTTTTACTCCCACCACCTCAGAGATGAGAAACTCATTTTCCACTTGGGTAACGGTTGTGAAAACTATTAAACATTGGTGAAGACCTCTGTCACCCCTTCCCCTTCCCATTTCTGTGTTCAGCTATTTCTGAGAAGCTAGGTATGGTGGTGAATGCCTATAATCCAGCTGTGGTGTAAGAATGATGAAGTTAGAGACCAGACCAGGCAAAGTTACTAAAAGCCTATCTTAGAAACAAAATTAAAAGGTATGGGGGAGGTGGTTCATGTGGAACACCACTTGCCTCATGCATATAAGGTCCTTGGTTTAATCTTCAATAATTCAGAAAGAAAAAAAAGTTTCAAGAAAGATAACAATGTAAGAAACTCACGTTTGCATCTACCCTTTCAAACACTCTACCCTTCGTGGAAGAGCGATCACAGACTCCCAGGGGTCAGAGGGCTGAAGGATGTGAGGTGTCCTGGGGTCCCTCACTATCTGCCTCAACTCCCCCATCATTTCTTCTGAACTTTGAAGTAAACCATTTCTAAAAATCTTACCTAGAGTCAATGTCTTCTCTCCAATACATAGGGGAGCTGACTGGTGTTGTTGGTTACAGATTGATGAAGCAGTTCTACGTTGCTGATAGTTTACTCATACATGTCAGAATATATACAGGTCTTAATATAGTTGTCTGTGCTATATTTCAAAAGCAAGGGAGAGAGTAGAGACTTGACCTTGGATGATTTCAACCTGCTGCAGAACAATGCTGGACTGAAACCTTTTAAATGATGATTCTCTAATCTGTGTCCAGCCTTTGCTGTCCAGACAGCTTAAAACATAGTGATCTCCTTTACTTCCTCCTACTGCTTTACTCTATCTGATATATACTTTTGGAAACCCAAGTGAATGTGAAAACACACTGGTTTTAAATATTGCTCCTTCCTCTAGAGGTAAGAATAGGACAGTTTGAGTAATGGTACTCACTGGATACTATGTTGAAAATGAACTATACAACTTGTGGGTGGGACCGGGAGGGAAAAACTGGGAGAGAGCGAGGGAAGGGGTGACATTGTCCAAAAGGAAATGTACTTTTTACCTGGCTTATGTAACTGCAGCTCCTCTGTGTGTCACCTCTAAGATAACATTTTTTTAAAGCTCAGGAACAGCACCTAGGCCCTGAGTTCAAGCCTTAGAACCAGCATCAAAACAATAAATAAGAATTCTTAAAAGAATAGAAGTTTCCATTTTGTTTCTATCTTTATTACATTTTTGCATTTGAGATAGATACAAACCACTCTCATATTACACACAAAATATCTATTCTTGTGATTTTTAAAGTGCATTTCTCCTTTAACTTTGTGTACAAAAATATTTAATTCTTATAAACATGCAGAAATTTCTTGACAAGGCACTTTTAGGTATAAACTGAAGACAAGTCTGGGTTGTATGTTCACACTGTAATAAAAGTGAGACTTTGTCTTCCCACAGCTGCCTCTCCCAGGCTTTCTAGGAACCACCAACACAACTCCTATGATTCACAATTTCACAACATGGGCCGTCATGCTTCCCTACTATCACCAGGAGAAACTGCCCATCCCTGGCATGTTCTGTCCCCAGCTTCAGGAAACTATGTTAAGCTGCCAAATTGTCTTTTGGAAATCCTATAAGATCCCATTTATCGGTAAGATCCATTTATCTCTTGTCTCCAAATTCAACAATCCTGTCAGGACACATTAGATCTACATCCCTTCAGAACAATGAGCCACCAGCCAGCATCCAGTTGAAGAAAATTTAAAAACAGAAACAAATGAAAGATAACCAAGGTTTCATTCACTGTCCATTGAGAAAGATTACATAATAATGGCATAATGATGTCATTAGGACCATAAGGCCACATTTAAAAGGAAGAGCACATAATACCTATTGGAAGTCTGATGTCGAAATGATGTCATGCTCATTGTTAAAATACATTGGGACATACAAAGATCAAAACCCCATAAAGCAGTTCAATATGTACATTTTAAAAATATGTCATGTTTTAGCTGGGTGAGGTGGCTCACAACTATAATTCTAGCTGTCTAGGAGGCTGAAATCTGAGGATTGCAGTTGGAAGCCAGCCTGGGCAGAAAAGTCCATGAGATTTGTATTTCCAATTAACCAACAAAAACCTGGGAATGGAGGTATGGCTCAAGTGGTAGAATGCCAGCCTTGAACGCAGATCTTGGGTTCAAGCTCCAGTACTGGCATACACAAAAGTTTCATGATTTATCAGCATTGAAATGAAATCTTAGAGATAAAATAAATTTTTACAACTGATGCAGAGCTCCATTTTTCCCCCATTGGCTGTCCTATAACAAGAAAACTTAAAAACATTCATATGCTTATCTCCCAAGAAATATAAAGCTTATTATATGTTAATGTAGTTCACTTATTTATTGCACCCAGTTTACAAAAGCACCGCAGGGCATTTTGGGTAATAAATATGGAAGGAAAATGGAGTTGGTCCCCTATGTGTAGACCAGGGGCCTGACAATATTGAATATTGTTCTAGCTAATGGCACAGTGACAGATGGTTGGCCCTTCTGGGCAGCCGGGGAGGACACTAAGATGGAAGAGATCCATTCATCACCATAATCAAGAAGTGTGTGATGGCAATTGACAGGTCAGGCTATTAGTGCAGTCCCAACTCAGGAGCCTGTCACCCTAAGTGTATGTCTTCCCATGATGGTGAACTAAGGGGAGAGTTTAACATTCCCTAGGCATGGGACATATTGATTGCCTTCTTTATCGGGAAGAAGTCTTTCATGCAGGCCAAAGACTTGCCTTTGGAGTTGAGCAGTAGAGTGCAAACCCCAGGTATGCTAAAAGAACTAGAAGGTAGGATCTGTGGTTGTTTTAGGAGCAATACTGTCACTGAATTACCATATTTCAAATGTTGACAAGGGAATGTCTAAAGATCAGTTATCACATAAAACCGAAGTTACTTGAAAACCTTTTCCTCTGAACATAGAATGATGCTTAGACTGGTAACTGCAAGTAACAGTGTACCTGTTGCTTCCTAGCATGGTGGGGGGACCTCTTCGCCAGTTTTGCTTTCATTTGATTTAGAATTATGCTACTCTTAGTTCTGATCACCAAATCTGTAGCATTTCAAGTCTGTCTGCATACTTCCTGTATGATATGCTCAGTAAGACACAACCCTGCTCAATTCAGTAAAAGATACAAGTGTGATTTCCCCATAAATGACATTATTATGTAATCCTAGAGGACTACCTACTTGGGAGAGGCACCAAAAACCTTAAAGCATGGATTGCACACAAATAACAGCCAGTTTTAGGAATAAGAATTACATGGAATACCACTTAGCATTTAAAAAATTCAAACACTCTAAAGTTCAAAACTAGAAGAAAAAAAAAAAAGAAAAACTAACCACAAAATTCTCTAAACCAAGGCACTCAATACTTGCCTGATTTTAATATACAGAGCCACAAAAACCTGGCACTCTTTTCTAATTTATCTGGGAAAATTCAAACATGGGATTCTGTGCCAGGCAAGTTCAGAGCTGTGCCTTCAACTCCAGGAAACTATCACCCTTTTCCCATACGCCTTAGCAAACACTATTTTGCTAAGATCCAGAAAAAAAAGAGAATTAAAAAAAAGTCACTTAGCCAAACTCCCGAAACAAAACAACAAAAAGAATTTTTTTTAAAAAAAATCTACAAATATACATGGAAAATGTTTTTCAAACACCCTTAAGTACAAACCAATCTTGCCTAGAAAAAGAAATCACAGGTTTTTGGGGACCCATCCAACCATGAATTATCCAGGAGTTATACTGGCATTCACCAAAACATTTTAGGTCCGATATGGTGAAGAACAATTCATCTCTGACATTTCAGAGTTGGCAAATATTTAAAATAACACATGGGAACTTTAGGAGGCTTTTCTCCCCTATCATCTTGCATACACACCATAAATAAAAACACCCAGATCGACATCTTCCAGGTGTTTGTAAAGTGTCCCAAATATTGTCTATCACAGGCAAAATGAAACTAAGCAAGTTCCAAAGGCGGCAGGGGTGTGCTGGATGGGCAAATGTTAACATCGATGACAACTCTTCAAGAAAGAAGAGCTACAGTTCCTTTCCTCTTTTTTTTTTTTTTTTAATAAAAGAAGAATGAGGCTTGCAAATGTGCCAAGCAAGTGAAAACCAATCTTGTCACTGAGCCTTCTGGTGACTCAGAGAGTGCTTAGAGAGCTCCTTGCAAAGCCAAAAGGAAAGCTGAATCTCTTGACTGTCCTGCCTGCTCAGAGCTCTCCAATCTTTGACACCACTCAGGAGCCAGTGGCTTTCCAACAACTGAGGTGTGGTTCTCTGCTGGGGTATATATTTAGGGTCAGAGGTGAGGGCCAAAGCCTCTCTTAGTCATAGGCTATGTATTTGCCTTTTGTTATCTTTTCCTGAACATCAGAGGAACCGTGGAAGAAAATGAAATACAGAACAACAACAACAAAAAAGGAACTTGGACCAAAAGAAGCAGATCTCATCTCTCTTCAGAAGCTGTTTTAGAGATGAGTAATATCAGGCCACTGGGTCACAACATAGAGGTAAGTTTACCGAATAGCAGCAACAACGAAGAAACAATTGCTGGTGGACACACCAAAGTGAATGGTAACAGCTCCGCCACACCCCCCAGCCCCAGCCCAGGGGTGGCTGGGGACTGAGAGAATTTCCAGGGGCTGCTTTTTCACCTGGGAGTGCAGAGAACTCAAACTCCTCCTCTAGCTTCCACAGCACTGCCCACAGGCATGGCTTCTCTCCAGACCCTTCTGGAACCATCCTGCTTATTCCTTTGTGGCCACCCTGGGTGCCAAAATGGACCAGTGCAAACAACCTCTGAGCAAGCAATCAGTTCTGTGATCTAAAGCTGCTGGACTTGCTGACTGAAGAAAACTGTGCAGGACCCTTTCTTTGCAAAAACCGTGCCTAAGGGGCAGTTCAACTTTGCGCTTCTCCTGGCTTCTCCGTTCCATGATCAGTGTCACTGCCTGCCAACTGCAGTCACTAATAGTAGGGCCCTAGCTTTTCATATCCTAAGTAACTAGGCCACTCGGGAAATAGACCATAAGAACACCTTGGGCTTCCAAACTGGTCAAAGGCTATTCCAAAATCCGGTCCATTTTGTGGTTCCATCATTCCCTGAGTGGCTTTTAGCTCTGCTCGGATGATCCTGTAGTTTTTGCCTCTGTTGCTGTCCCAATATGCCTGGCCATTACACTCATAACACACAGCAAATTCTATTCTTTCATAGGACTGAATTTTCTCGGGGAGGCTGATGTCAAAGGAGAACGTGTCCCTGTCGGACCCGGCATAAGTGTCTTTCACATACTGACAAGGAAAGTCTGTGAAGCTTTTCCAAGTGTCAAATGTCATTCTGATTTTCACAATCTTCTCGAAGGCCAGGTTCTGAACCTTCACGGTCCCTGCGAGGGCTTTGTCTTTCAACACGCAGTTTTCCAGGCAGACATGATTGGTCTGAAGACGGTTTCTAAAGTCTAAGTAATCTGCAGAGGGTTGTGAAAAATCCAGAACAAAGCTCTCGCTCTCTGCTGTCGTCAGACTCACCAGGTTGTCTAGTAGCTCGGTGATGTTGAATGGAATATCTAATGGGTCATCGAATTCTGAGAACACTTTGACCATTGTCAGGGCCAGCCCTTGGTTGTCTGCAAAGGAAACCCGCTTTTTCACCTTTTTCTCAGGGACTGTTGGGGTCACCATTCCACCGGCTTCCGTCCTGCTGGTTAGCTGAATGCAGGGCCTCAGGGGCTTGCTCAGCTTCGGGGATACCTTGAATGCAAAGCGCTCTCGACGCAGAGAAGGAGCCATGCTGTTGTATCTGTACTCTATATCCACGGCCATCATGGGGTTAGATGAATAGGTTAGAACTCTGCGAAAGGGAGGAGACAGAAAAGAACAAAGGGATCAGACAGATATTCAAACCCTCCTTCCAGCAGACACTTGGCAAACACTTTCCTTGATCTGTGGTCACTGCCTAGTGTTCTCTCACAGGACATACAGTTCAGGAAAATTGAGTGTGTGTGTGTGTGTGTGTGTGAGAGAGAGAGAGAGACTGATAGACAGACAGACAGACAGAGACAGAGAGAGTATAGGAGGATATTTGAGATTTAAAAAAGTATAGAACTTACTAGTCCCAAAACAAATTAATAGGTTTACCTATCATGACATTACTGTGCCACAGAGGATAATAAAAATGGCATATTATTTACAAAATTTCTCAAACTTATATAAGGAACCCCCTTTGTTGGCAGAGTGTTTCCATACTGAGCTGTACAAAGGAGCACACTTTGATAAATGCTTCTGTTATCAATTCACAAGTAAAGGTTGCACTTATTTATGGAGGATGACATAATGACTTGACATATGTATACATTTTAGAATGCCCCAAACAAACTATTTAATATATGCATTATTGAACACATTGATTATTGTGTGTGTGTATACAGTAAGCATTTTTCAAGTTGTTATTGTTGTTAACTGTAATCACCACAGTGTACAATAGATCTCTTCAATTTATTCTTCCAGAGGCACATAAATGTTCCATATGTAGAGTCCTTCAGTCAGTATTACCATCCTTGGCCCTCTAAATGCGCAGCCCTAGAAGCTACCAACCACTCATTCCCTGTTTCGATGGCGTCAGTATCTTTCTACACCTAGCTCACTGCACTTAACATTCTGTCCTATGGGCTTATTTCCATGTTTCTGCCAATGACTAGATTTCATTCTTTCCTCTGGCTGATCAAAATTACTTTGTGTCTATACGCCACAATTGCTTTATTCTTTCTCCCACAATGGACACTTAGGTTGGTCCTGTATCTCAGCTATTGAGAATGACATCACAGTGAATATGATAGTAGAAATCTCCAATATTCAGATACACCTTCTTTGAACCCATATCCTCTGATGGGATTGATGGGTCAGACAGTAATTTTATTTTTAATGTTTCTGAGTAAATTCCATTGTTTCCTTAATGGCTGTAATATACAGAGTTCTTTTTTTTCTTTTTTCTTTTTTGTCTGTCATGGGGCTTGAACTCTAGGCCTGGGCACTGTCCCTCAACTCTTCAGCTCAAGATGAGCATTCTACCACTTGAGCCACAGTGCCACTTTTGGTTTTCTGGTGGTTAATTGGAGATGAGTCTCATGGACTTTCCTGCCAGGGCTGGCTTTGAACATCAATCCTCAGATCTCAGCCTCCTGAGTATCTAGGATTATAGGCATGAGCCACCAGTACCTGGCTCACAGTTCTTATAAAGCAACAACAGAAACAAGAGTGAAAAATATTAATGGTAAAATTCACACAAGAAATTTACAAATGGCCCAAAAAGATGAAAAAGGTCCAGTCCTTAAATTAAGAAATTTTAAACTAGAAATGATGGTTGTTTTACCTGTTGAATTAGGAAAGACTTCTAAAAGGAAATAAAAATGTTATTACTCTAAATTGATGTAACCTTTCTAAATGTTCTATCATTTTTGTTCCAGTATCGCATGTAAAGTATTCATCTTAAAGAAATAATTTAACAGTTCATGGAAGTTAACACATGAAAATGTTCAATGGAACATGACTGAGAAAAAAGAACGAGAAAAAAAATGACCACTAATAGGCCTTGGATAATCAACTATATACCACATCACTGTTATTTCATCTTAGATAATTAAAATCATTATTTGTGAAATGTTTAAATGACCTGGAGAAAGTTTATAACAAATTGCTAGTAGGAAAATGGAGAAGATAAAATTGTACATAAAGGCCAGACTTGTGGAGAGAAAGTAATAGATATTTTAAAAAAGCCTATAGACACAGTAGTTCCCCCCCCCCTCCAGCCTTTTCTATGGTTTTGCTTTCCATAGTTTCAGTCCCCTGTGATCAGCCATAGTCCAAAAACACTAAGTGAAAAGTTCTAGAAGTAAACAATTCATAGTTGTTAAGGTAGCCACAAGCCATCCTACCTCAGGCATGAATCATCAAGGGACCATACCTTTGTCAGTGAATCAACATGTATATGGTACCTGCCCATTAATCACTTACTAGCCATTTTGGGTAGCAGACAAATGATTGGTAGTACTGCTGCTTGTATTCAAATTCCCCTTATTTAACTTAATAATGACTCTGAAGCACAAGCGTAGTGATATGAAGGCAGCACCTGGACTATAACATGGAAAAACAGATGAACTCTGAGGCCGTGTAGGACACTGTAGGACATACAGGAATGATCAGCATACACATAAGGTTCAGTACTATCTGAGGATCTGGGCATTCACCAGTTTTATGATATATTCCTTGTAGATAAGGGTACTACTATACAGAGGTGTCAGAATATACAAGTGACAGGATTTCAAGAAATTGTTTTTCTTGTTTTCTGTTTTCTTAGGCTTTCTGAGATAACATTGCTTCTTTAATCATATATAATAAATCTTTAAGAAATTTAAATATTTAAAAGTTTGCCACAACTATTTTTTTTTTGCCGTCCTGGGGCTTGAACTCAGGGCCTGGGCACTGTCCCTAAGATCCTTTTACTCAAGGCTAGCACTCTACCACTTGAGCCTCAGGGCCACTCTGGGCTTTTACTGTTTATGTGGTACTGAGAAATCAAACCCAGGGCTTCATGCTTGCTAGGCAAGCGCACTCTACCACTAAGCCACATTCCCAGCCAGAAATTGTTTTAAGAAGTAGGAATAGGAACTTCTGGGGGCTCATACCAGCTAGTTTTTTAGTTATTTAGGAGGCTGAGATCTGAAGATCTTAGTTAAAAGCCAGACTGAGCAGACAAATGCAAGAAACTCCAATTAATCACCAAAAGCCAGAAGTGAAGATGTGGTTCAAGTGGTAGAATACCAGCTTTTTAGTGAAAAAGCTAAAGGATAGCACCAGAGGCCCTGAGTTCAAGTCCCATTACTGACACCAGAGAAAAAAAGCAATGCAAAATAAAAACTACTTCTTAGCATGCAAGAAGTACTTGGACATGACAGTTGGAGAAACATAGAAACAAAATAAAATAAGATATAGCTGTAATATAGTTACATAAACATTTATTTTAAAGGATATTTGCCTTCCCATTTTCCCTCTAGAAAAGTCAATTGAACAAAAAAATTTTAGGGCAAATTTACTTGCTATTAACTGTTCTTTTACCCATACAATTGTTCTGGAAAGGAAAATTCTGACTGATTTGGATAAGATGACAAGAGAGGATCAATGTAGGGGGGAAATCCTAATATTTACTAATAACTTGAATTTTGTTATTCTCTCCCCATGGCAAAATTTTATTTAAGAGTGTATTGGAACTGTACCTTCAGCTCAAATTTTAATACAGCTACATTTTATGTTTAAATATGTATTAAAACCAAACAACCAATCCTACATAGCCCATTCCTCACCCTCTAATTTTTCATCCTTGAAAAGCCCAGGGAACTGAGGTTTCTTCTTGGACTAGCTGCTTTCCTCTGGCCAGAGTTAGCACAAGGTCAAGTGCAAATTTTCTCTGCACCTCCATCAAGTCCACAAACCAGCCACAGGTTCCTGGGCATCTTAGAAGCAGCTCACTAGAAAAAGGTTTAGAAACTCAGGATTGGGTGGAGACCGAACTCCAGAGCAAAGCTTGTCTACTTGGAATCCACTAAAAACACTTTCCCAAATTCTGATCCTGTTTAAGGGTGAGTTGAAGAGCTGGGTAAAGTTGTTCCTTTGGATGTCAGTGGTGTGAATTTGCCCTTAGGACCCCTTTTGTCATCAGCTGGGAGAACCAGTGGAACTGGTTGTAGGAGGCCAGCTTCTCAGTCAGCCAGAGCTAAGAAACAATTCCACTAGTATTTTCAAGTGGCATTTTTTTTCCCCTCAAAGCACTGGTTACTCAAGCCTGTAATCTTAGTTTCTTAGTTACTCAGGAAGCTGAGATATGAGGATCAAGGTTGAAAGCCAGCCCAGATAGGAAAATCCGTTAGACCCTTATCTCTAATCAACCACCAAAAAGTCAGAAGTGACTTTTTGAGCTTTGACTCAAGTGGTTGAGCACCAGCCTTGAGCAAAATAGCTAAGGAACAGTACCCAGTACTGGCACAATAAAACAAACAAACAAATATGTAGAGATTTTTCAATGAAAGGTTAAAGTAAGGCTACATTTGTTCCAAAAGTTGCCACTGGATTATTGCCCTAGGGAATTGCATCAGCAACCCTGGCCCAAAATTCCTTGACTCTTTTTGTGTGTCACCATAACTGCAAGTGACGACATTCAGTTCAGTCCTGTGATCTCCATTGATGAATAATGTGACTGTCAACCACTTTACCTGTCCTCACAGTAGATGTATATTTATTGATATGACCATTCTCTAAGAATCAAGACACTAAATGCTGGTTTATAGTAGGCTTTCCTGACTTGCTCAGAAAGTTCCTATTAGACAGAGATGACCACCATCTACAATCTATAAAACTACATGCAAGCATCAGAAAGGCACAAGGCAGTAATCATTGTGTGTGTGTGTGTGTGTGTGTGTGTGTGTGTGTGTGTGTGTGTGTGTGTGTGTTACTGGGGTTTGAACTCAAGGCTTGGGCACTGTCCTTTAGATTTTTTTTGTTGAACACTAGTGCTATACCACTTGAGCCTCAGCTCTACTTCCAGCTTTTTTTTTTTGGATCCAGTTGTGGGGCCTGAACTCTGGGCCTGGGCATTGTCCCTCAGCTCTTCAGCTCAAGGCTAGCACTCTACCACTTGAGCCACAGCACCACTTCCGGCTTTTTTATTTTTTCTGCGTATGTGGTGCTGAGGAATCGAACCCAGGGCCTCATGCATGCAAGGCAAGCGCTCTACCACTGAGCCACCTTCCCAGCCCTACTTCCAGCTTTTTGATGATTAATTGGAGATAGGAGTCTC